CAGGAAGTGAAGTGAGGAAGTTATGCACCGTCAAGCTTTCAAAGTGGTTATTGGATTTCGGGCTCCTGTTCGTGGCTAGGCTTCCAAAAAGTCTCACACTTGTGGTATCCCCACACTCAGTCAAAGTATCAAAATCTATTTTGGGGTGCAATTCCACATATACCCATGGCATATATCATTTACTGTAAATGACAACTTTGTGTAAAACAAAATGTTTTGTCATTTTCAAAAAGCTTGTGGTAAAAAATAAAGTATTCTGTTGACTCAACATGCCTCTTGGCAAATAGTCTAAGGTGTCTACTTTCCAAAAAGGGGTCATTTGTGGGCGAATTGTGTTATCCTGGAATTTCAGAGCCTCTGAAACTGTAATCAGGCTTTCATAGGGTCATTGCATTTTGGGCTCCTGTATGTGGCTAGGCTCTCAAAAAGTCTCACACTTGTGGCATCCACATACTCAGGATAAGTAGAAGAATATATTTTGGGGTGTAATTCTAAATATATCCATGGCATACCCATGACATGTGTGAGCAATATACCATTTAAATGACAAAATTGTGTAAAACACACACACACACATATATATATTATATATATATTTTATTTATTTATTTATTTTTAATCATTTTCCAAAAACTTGTGGAAAAAATGAATCTTCCATGGACTCAACATGCTTCTCAACAGATATCTTCAGGTGTCTACTTTCTGAAAAGGGGTCATTTGGGGCTGTATGTACTGCCTGGCATTTTAGCACTTCAAGAAATGAGGCAGTCAGAAAGTAAAGGCTGCGTAAAGTCATCTATCTCTACCGTAGTTTGTAGATGCTTTAACTTTCACACAAACCAATTAATATGCAATTAATGGGATTTTTTTTTACCAAAGACATGTAGCAAAATACATTTTTGGCCTAAATTTATGAGGAAATTTGAGCTCATTGGCTAGTTTTTATGACATAAATGAGAAAGCATCTTTTTTTTCCCCACAATTTTCAGTCTTTTTTTGTTTATAACACCAAAAAATTGTTACCTAGAATTGACCAAATACCACCAAAAGAAATCTATATTTGTGTGAAAAAAGGACATACATTTTGTTTGAGTACATCATTGCATGATCGTGCAATTACCAGTTGAAATAACGCAGTTCCGTCACACAAAAATTGGCCTGGTCACGAAGGGATGTAAATCCTTTGGAGGGCAAGTGGTTAACATACAAGATACTACCAGGCCTTGATATCCTTATGCTTTTATTAGGAAAGAAAGTAGGGAAGATTTACTAAAACTGGAGCACTCAGAATATGGTGCATCTGTGCATGGTAGCCAGTCAACTTTTAACTTCAGCTTGTTCAAATAAGCTTTGGCAATAAAACCTGGATGCTGATTCGTTTCTATGCAGAGCTGCACCAGATTTTGCACTCTCCAGTTTTAGTAAACAACCCCTACAGTGCCAATCTAGTTTACCACTGTTAAAAAAAATCTTTCATTATTATTGCTATGTGATTAGAAACATTTAACACTTTTAAAAAGTAGGTATTATCCCAACTTGACTGGAAAATTAGAAATAAACGGTAAGTTACAGATATATACATTTTGGCCTTATGACCCACTGTCATCTTTTTTTGAGAATTCCAGGGGGTTGACTTCTTAAGGAAAATAGATTGTTCACTTTTCAAGAGAAGTGATGGTGAAATGTAACTTTTCAAAATTACAGAGTATATATATATATATATATATATATATATATATATAAACAGTATTTTTGCATATGACTGGCTGATCAAAGTCAGCAGAGCTTCACTTCATTCAGTAAGCTCTGGGGAGAATTCCTTTGCAAAGTGAACAGTCTATTTGCGTTTAATAAATTAACATCCAAATGGTTGAATTGCTATAACACTAAATTAGTGCCTTCTGTACTTTCAGAGTAACTGGCTTGGGACAAGCATGCAGATATGTTATGACTGCACTCATGAGTCATGACTTTCCAAATTTGCTTAACCGCTTGCCCACCGCCCTATAGTATAAATACTGCTACAGGGCGGCAGGTCTGCACAAAATCACACACACATATATATATATATATATATATATATATATATATATGATTTGCATTTCCTCATAGGGGGCACACACGTGCGTGTCGCCTTACCCGCACCATCCTTGGCAGCTATGGGTGTCAATCACCAGAGATTCCCCGCCGGCACCCGGTGCTTGTTGAGTAACACTGACAGGGGAAAGGCTTGAGTGTAAACAACACAGATCGCTCTCCTGCCAGCAAGAACAGCAGAGAAATACACAGCAGCATGTTTCCCTAGTAAAACACACACAGAACATTATGTAAAACAGCACACAGTTAACCATTTGATTGCCCCAGATGTTAGCCCCTTCCTGCCCAGTGTCATTAGTACAGTGTCAGTGAATTCGCACTGATCACTATATTAGTGTCATTGGGATGTCAGTGGCAGCTATTCAGTTCCCACCCAGTGTCAAAATGCCCGCCACAGTCCCGATATAAGTCACTGATCACCACCATTACCAGTATAAAAAAAAAAATTCCAGTACATATACCGCCATTTGTGGAAGCTATAACTTTCACATAAACCAATTACTTTACATGTATTGAGATTTTGTTTAGCAAAGATATGTAGCAGAATACATTTTGGCCTAAATTTATGACGTAATTTGATTTTTTACATTGTATACTGGATATGTTTTATAGCAAAAAGTTAAATATATATATATATATTTTTTTTTTTAAATTGTCAGCATTTTTTTGTTTATAGCGGAAAAAAAATAAAAAAACCGCACAGGTGATCAAATACCACCGAAAGAAAGCTTTATTTTGGGAAAAAAATGTAATCCATGCACAGTGTAGTATGACCGTGCAATTGTCAGTTAAAGTAACACAGTGCCGTATCGCAAAAAATGGCCTGGCCGGGAAGGGGGGTAAAACCTCTAGAGGGCAAGTATTGCCCCTGGTTACCCAGCCAGGCTGCTAGCATTTTAAGAAAGAGAACTGCAATGTCCCTATACTATCTCATCACCAGTTCACTTAAAAAGTTTGACCATTTACAAATGTGGATAAGTGCTTAAAGATGAACTTTCTTCAGAAGATGGAAAGGCTTGCTAAATCCACCAGGGGGCTCAGTGCAGTTCACACTCTCCTATTAAAGGCAAAAGTTTGAAATAAAATGACTTTTTTAATATTGCCAGCGTTGACTGTAGCTCTACCCCAGACGGAGGCTCAAGTTATGGTTGTTCTTGTAAGGTAGCTACTAGAGATGAGCGAAGTATTCAAAAATTCGATTCGGCTGATTCGGCGAATTCGAGGAATAAATTTGATTCGAGTCGAATATATTCGCTGCGAATTTAACTTATAAAAAGGGTGTTTCTAGGCTTCAGAGAGCCTTTATATTAGTGCAGAACACTGTACCTTTCATTTAAATGCCCTTGGAGTCTGCTGGGGAAGAGAAATAATACTGTCAGTCAGTATGACATGCAGATGAGTGCCGTCGATCTTAGAATCACCGCACACTTCACTCATTTGGGCAGTCACGGGGCCAAAACCAGAGTGTGGAGCCACAGTGTGGCGGTGGAGGCAGCAGCAATGGGAGGCCATACAGCACCCTATGACAAAATAGAACCCACCAGCAGTGTGAGGAGACCTGAAAGTGGCACATGGCAGAGTGTGGCGATGGAGACAGCAGCAATGGGAGGCCGTACAGGGACCCATGAGAAACTCTGGACCTGGCAGCAGCATGAGGAGGCGGTACAGGGGCCCATGACAGATTACGGGCCTGGCAGCAGCATGAGGAGTCGGTACGGGGCCCATGGCAGATTACGGGCCTGGCAGCAGCAATGGGAGGCCCGTAATCTGCCAGCACCCTATGACAAAATGGAACCCACCAGCAGTGTGAGGAGACCTGAAAGTGGCACATGGCAGAGTGTGGCAATGGAGACAGCAGCAATGGGAGGCCGTACAGGGACCCATGAGACACTCTGGACCTGGCAGCAGCATGAGGAGGCGGTACGGGGGCCCATGGCGGATTACGGGCCTGGCAGCAGCAATGGAAGGCCCGTAATCTGCCAGCACCCTATGACAAAATGGAACCCACCAGCAGTGTGAGGAGACCTGAAAGTGGCACATGGCAGAGTGTGGCGATGAAGACAGCAGCAATGGGAGGCCGTACAGGGACCCATGAGAGACTCTGGACCTGGCAGCAGCATGAGGAGGCGGTACAGGGGCCCATGACAGATTACGGGCCTGGCAGCAGCATGAGGAGTCGGTACAGGGGCCCATGACAGATTACGGGCCTGGCAGCAGCAATGGGAGGCCCGTAATCTGCCAGCACCCTATGACAAAATGGAACCCACCAGCAGTGTGAGGAGACCTGAAAGTGGCACATGGCAGAGTGTGGCGATGGAGACAGCAGCAATGGGAGGCCGTACAGGGACCCATGAGACACTCTGGACCTGGCAGCAGCATGAGGAGGTGGTACAGGGACCCATGACACCGGTACAGGGGCCCATGACAGATTAACGGGCCTGGCAGCAGCAATGGGAGGCCCGTAATCTGCCAGCACCCTATGACAAAATGGAACCCTCCAGCAGTGAGTAGGAGACCTGAAAGTGGCACATGGCAGAGTGTGGCGATGGAGACAGCAGCAATGGGAGGCCGTACAGGGACCCATGAGACACTCTGGACCTGGCAGCAGCAAGAGGAGGCGGTACGGGGGCCCATGGCAGATTACGGGCCTGGCAGCAGCAATGGGAGGCCCGTAATCTGCCAGCACCCTATGACAAAATGGAACCCACCAGCAGTGTGAGGAGACCTGAAAGTGGCACATGGCAGAGTGTGGCGATGAAGACAGCAGCAATGGGAGGCCGTACAGGGACCCATGAACACTCTGGACCTGGCAGCAGCATGAGGAGGCGGTACGGGGGCCCATGGCAGATTACGGGTCTGGCAGCAGCAATGGGAGACCCGCGTAAATCTGCCAGCACCCTATGACAAAATGGAACCCACCAGCAGTGTGAGGAGACCTGAAAGTGGCACATGGCAGAGTGTGGCGATGGAGACAGCAGCAATGGGAGGCCGTACAGGGACCCATGAGACACTCTGGACCTGGCAGCAGCATGAGGAGGCGGTACAGGGACCCATGACACACTCTGGACCTGGCAGCAGCATGAGGAGGCGGTACAGGGGCCCATGACAGATTACGGGCCTGGCAGCAGCAATGGGAGGCCCGTAATCGTGCCAGCACCCTATGACAAAATGGAACCCACCAGCAGTGTGAGGAGACCTGAAAGTGGTACATGGCAGAGTGTGGCGATGGAGACAGCAGCATGAGGAGGCGGTTACAGGGACCCATGACACACTCTGGACCTGGCAGCAGCATGAGGAGTCGGTACAGGGGCCCAACAGGGCCCCCATGAGCACTCTGGACCGGGCACACATGAGGAGGGGGGTAGGGGGGCCCATGGAAAGATTACAGCCTGGCAGCAGCAATGGGGGGCCCCATAATCTGCCAGCACCCTGGGACAAAAGGGAACCCACCACAGTGTGGGGAGCCTGAAAGTGGCACGGGCAGAGGTGGCAGAAGACACAGAAATGGGAGGCTCGGGGACCCTGAACCTCGGAGGGGCAGCAGCTGAAGGGGGTACGGGGCACATGGCAAAATTAGGGGCCGGCAGCAACAAGGGGGGCCCCAATCTGCCAGACCCTATGAAAAAAATGGAACCCCCCAGCATGTGAGGAACCTGAAAGTGGCACATGGCAGAGTGTGGCTGAAGAAAAGCAGCAATGGGAGGCCGTAAGGCCCCTGAGAGACCTGGACCGGGCCCACATGAGGAGGCGGTACAGGGCCCATGACAGATTACGGACCGGCCAGCGGGGAGGGGTACAGGCCCCCATGACAGAT